TATTCATTAATGGAAATTGAGATGACATTGTTCTATCAAGATTAACTGAGCAATTGAATTCAATAAGCATTAGACTAACCTTGTGAACAAAAAGAACATCAATGTTATTTGTTAACTATATCACAATATTCCTGTGTAAAACTTTAGCTTTATCCACGTCAATAATGGACTCCACCAACTTCACTGAATTGTCTAACTCCCCTTCTGCATTCACAACGACATAATCGAAATTCTTGATATGCTTAAGCTCCTCACGAGCCATGCCAATCCTATGGAGAAGTGTCTCCATAGTCTCCGTCTTCCTATCAATCAAACGCTTCACAAGTGTGGACTCACTCTCCGCCACCAGAAAAACATACACCGCCGAATTCTTAAGTATCCTTTTCAATATTGCAGCCCCCTGTATGTCCACTCTCAACACAATGTCACATCATTTTTCCATGTATTCGCGAATTTGCTCTTTGGTTATTCCCTTGTAATCTCCATACACCAATGAATACTCCAAGAGCTCATCTCTCTCAACCAATGATATGAACTCTTCTTTACTCACAAAAAAGTAGTCTTCTCCGTCCACCTCGCCGGGCCTTTTTGCCCGGCTCGTTGCCGTGACCACGAAGTGAATGCCCTCTCGAACTTCTCTCAATCTTTTGATCACTGCGTCTTTGCCAACCCCACTTGGTCCACTGAGGACAATGATCAGAGATTTGGTTTTTGGCACCAATGGGTAGGTAGTGAAGGGCGAACCCAGTGAAGCTTCGAGTGCCCGATACAGTTCGGCCGTGTCGACTGACGGAATCGGAACGGTGGACGGTCGCCGGACATCGCCCATTTGGGAATTTGACGAGAGGAATCGATGAGTTACCGAATTCGAGACCTGAAATATCGAATTGAAGCCTTTTGGGTTCAGAAATTGGGGTTGGGAACTATAAACAGTACATGGGTTGGGCAATTTTCTATGGATGAAAGATGGGTAAAGGTCGAATCGGTTGAAAGAGGTACAAAGTCTCCGAAAAATCATCGCTTATATTATGTGTGTATAAGACGCAAGAATTTCTGAAGAACCCTAATTTGTGTAAGAATCGGAATGAATAAAGATTAAATCAACAAAATGTCAAAGAAGAATAGAAGGTCAAGATTCTTGCCTGACAATCTGCGAGCTCATTGTAATGGAATTTAGGTCATTTCGCATTTCTCCGGTTCACAGGTAAAAATGGAAATCGCCCAGGGGTCCGAGGGTGAGGCTAGAAAAATCTGCCCTCAGTAGGGATGGCACCGGGTGGTTCTGGACCCAACCCGCCCTCCCCGGTCCAGCTATCCGTCCCTGCCCGCATTTATATTTTTGTACTCCGCGGGCAGGTCCCACCCATTTACTCCAAAATGTTTTTCCTATTTTTTTTTCCCTCCCCCTAAATATATGTATGGAATACAAGATTACAAGTACATAATAATACAAACCAACAAAAAAAACTATTATAAATAGTAATTTAACATAAAATTCAAATTACAAATATAATGACGATACTACACATTAATTTAATTTTTTTTTTTTTTTTTTTAAAAAAACAATACATATTAATTCTAAACGAGGTGAGTTTTTTCCCATAAAATTTGTCCCCGCCCAAATTCATTACACGGTTCCCCCGACATTTGTTTAAACCGGACAAGACAGGGTGGGTATCTACCCCACGGGGCAAATTACCATCCCTACCGAAGAATGCACAAATAATAGGTGGAATGATAAATTAGACTGAACCAAATCTGGTCCAATTATTTTAGGATTTAATCTAATTATATTCTCCCTTTGTTTCATATTTATTTTGGTTCCTTAATTGACTTGATCACATTATACAATAAAATATTTTTTTTGACAAAAAAAATAATTTAATAAATAAATACATAAAAATTATTTAATTTAAAACACAAAAATGACTTCAAATTTACTTTGTGATCAATTATAATCAATACAAAATAATCCAAAACTTTGTATGAAAAAAGATGGCGTAAAGTGAGCGACGACCCATGCGTATTGCTTTGCAGAAACCTAATTTTAATGCGTTTTTGGGCAAACTGAACTTTTTGAGGCGTGACGATGATAGAATTTTGGAAAGAGAAAGGGTTATCTCAATTTAAATGGCTAAATGGTAAATACATTAATGCTCTTCGTTCACATCTGCTTTTACTACTCACCATTTGGATTCAACGCGGGAAGCCTAAGGTGCGCTGGTGATACACTTCTGGGTCAATCAAATTTTTAGTTGCAACTTCCCAACAAACAGAGAAGTTCCATTTAAAATTACCCAAACACAGTACTAGTGGGCATCTGAATTTGCAACTTTGTGCCCCCTGGAAAAACAATAAAACAGAGGCAGCTGCTAACTTGCGCAAAGCAAGGTTCACACACGGTATTGTGTTACTCGTGTATTGGATCTCACCTGATATGAAAAAGTTTTAACGGATTGATGATAGAATATCTAAGTACGCACTACTACACACATGATTGTGAAATAGATATCGATCCTGTGGCGATGATTAAATTGTGAAAAATTCTTATTGAAACGCATTTATTAATGGTATTTTTTGGTTAATTTCTTCAAATCTTAAAGGATTTGAACTATTTTGACCGATAAAATATTGACTCCGCCCCTATTCTGGAATGGGTTTGTACATAATTAGTATACCATTCCCGTCCCTAATTTGAGGGACAAAATACTGACTCCGTTCTGCGTACTCTGTTTAATTGCGAGACAAGACGGATTATTCCACTTTTATTATTTAATAAAAAAACAATATATAGTAATAATAACTAGCCCAATGTAATCAAATTGAGCTAATAAATAAGATAGCACAACTTTTAAATCACCAAGTACTGAATATTAGTATATTAACCAACACTTCAAGGTATAGGGTCTTAAAAATATTAAATATATATTATACATATATAAATTAAAGGTACACATAATCGGGGTAGGGGCGAAGCGAGTTCATCACTAAATTTTTTCTCGCTCCAAACACGTTTGAAATTTTTAATTATTTTATCATACCCACCCCAAACCCATTTAGGGGGTTACCAAATCCGTCCTATTAGGGCAGGGGCGGGGTGAAAGCCCGCCAAGTTGGAGGAAATTGACATCCCTAGATCTCGAAGGTTTCGACAAATTAAAGTAAGTATTAATTAATTAATAAAAGAGTTTACAATTCTCTCATGTTTGAGAGTCAAATACTATGACAATGATAAGGAGCAGTTATATACAATGACTTTCGCAACATATCTCAATTTATTGCGGATCCGATTCAAGTCTTAATTAATAAAGAGTCCATCATTAATTACCGACTATAAACTATTTATATTCTTGAATTGGTTGTTATCAAATACATTTAAATATGTCTTGCAGTCAACTAAACATATTCAATTTCATAATGAATCGAAACATAATACATTTGCATTCAACAATTGTACAAAGCATAAATATTCTATTAGATTAAAGCAAGGAACACAATAAGAATTCGCTATGTCAGAACATACAAATTCCAATAAATATATGTATAGTATTTCACTTTACAAACATCTCTGAGCATATATTTAACGGATGAAAAAGCGCCACATTACCATTTGAATTGGATTAAGTGGGGTATAAAACAAAAACATGATGGGTAGTTATAAAAATGATACTGTGGTACAATTTTAATCTAACGATGATCCAAATACTTGCAGTGTCGAGGGAGAGAAAATGGTTCAATGTTTTTTTTTTTTTTTTAACCTTTAATTTTTAAGCTTATATCTCAACATATGTAATTTTCGTGCAAGATTTGCCCCCTTTTTTTCCACAAAATCGGGTGTTTGGTGCTGTGCCTGACTAATCCACATCCTACACACACCAGTCCCTCAACACGTTAAATCGAGAGACTCGTAGAAAAGTGCTAGGATTTGAACCCTCGTCCAAATACTGGTCATGGTACCAACACTTGGTAGCCCAATCCTAGCTACGAACTCCTGCCTTTGGAAGCAAGAAGACGTACTCTTACCTTTGTCCCGACTAATTCACCTCCCACACACTCAACACGTGCAAGATTAGATCGAGAGACTCATAAAAATTGTGTAGCGCAAGTTCATCAGCGCCTTCCAAGAAGTTGTGGAGGAATTATATGGTGAACTTCCCCTCCTCCGTTCTCATTTAAAGGAATCCAAAAGGTCTTCCAAGAGGAGACCATTCGTTGTTTCCTTTAGAATTCGTTAATGATGTGATAGTACTTGACCCTGCACATTGCCGACAATTCTTTTAGGTTGAGTTTGTCAACTGCTCTTTGTGTTTTAGCTTTGACACAAAGCAGAAGTAACATTTCTGTCGTGAGTTGTGTTTAATAATAATCAAAAACATTTTTGGTAACTTAACATTAAAACATATTTGATAAAAAAATGTTACAAGAATGTTAAAAGTTTATTATTATTAATTTTTTTGGTACTCTTCATTATTAGTGTTTTTGCTACAGTGCAGAAGCAACTTGAAACACCAATTTGGTACTTCCAATTTTGATATCTTTTTCAAAAACGTTTCGATACTATTCAAATCACAACAATTATTATCAAACAAGTTTTTTGCTTCACTATAATACAATGTCCCAAAAAAAAAATTAAATAAAATGCAAAATAGGTTGCAAACGGCCTCAACTTGTTGGGCCCAAAATTGAAAATTTCAGATGCTAAAGCAACAAGCAACGATTCTGAGCAACTTCCTTGAAGCAGTAGTATTAAATAGCAACAAATTCATTTCTTGACTTCTCTGGTCTTGAGCTCAAAATTTTCTACATTTAACACCGTGACCATATTGCTAGAGCAACTTCCTTGAAAGAGAAGTATTGAATAGCAACAAATTCTACTAAAGCTGATTATATATATAGACATGAGATAACTTGATAGCTCACAAAAGCCATGGCAGCTGATCATTTACAATTTCTCAAAGACAGGTTCATCACCGACTTCCACGATGTAAAACCGGACAGAAACTGCTTCAAATCAGAAGAAAGTTGCACAAAATGAGCGAACCTGCTCAAACTAATTATCTGATATCAGACCCTATGGCGGTTCTGTCACTGTGTGATCTTCCATCTATCAACACAGCCGAAGTTCACGGGTTGAACCAACAGCTGCAAAACATCGAAGCATTGCTGCTCGGATCAACACCTGATCATCACGGTGTTAAAGCAGTCGGAATTATTGGAATGAGTGGTGTGGGTAAGACTATGCTTGCCCATTCGGTTGTGCAAAGTTTTCGAATCCAGAAGAAGTTCTCGCCCATAATTTGGGTCGGACATTCTAAATAAGGGAATGCACCAAGAACTGTCGCCAGATATTTGTTGAGAGAGTCGGATCCAACACAAGCATTTGAAGGTAATTCTGATCTTTGTGTGCAGATGAGGGAGCTTTACTCTCGCTTGTCCAATAAGAAATACTTGATTGTTCTTGACAATGTAGTGCATGAAGATGAGTGGTACTCTGATTTATATGTTCCATCTACTGATTCATATACCACCGATAGCACGATAAGCTCTATCCGACTTTCGCATGGCTTGCCAAAGGAAGGTGGGGGCGCTGTAATAGTCACTAGTAGACCCGAGGATGTAGCCATAAACATGGTGGGTGAGCAAAACTTACTCAGACTCCAGCCCTCATTCGACGAAGAGGAAATTTGGTCCATATTCATGGATTCAGTTCGAAGAAAGGAGTTTGTAACTTCAGATCATCATCCAACTTTGTCAAGAATGAAGGATGAAATTGTTGACAGGTGCGACGGCCTTCCTTTAGCTGCAAGGACGTTGGCAGAGATCATTTCTATTCAACTTGGCAAGGAAGGGTACGTAGTTAGTTTTTCAAAGCTTAATCTTGAAATTCTTGGTTTGTCACTAGTATTTTGAATTTTTATTTTTATTTTCAGTTTCTTTTAACATGTGCAAGAAAAAGAAAAAAATGATATTTGAACTCATAATTCAAGCCTTAAAAGATAAGTCAATGGGATTATCTCCAACTAATTCCACTGTTTTTATGTGAATGGGGACGTCATCAATAATAATGACTCTGTGATGTTAGATGTCATTCCTCTGTTCACATAAAATAGTCGGATTAGTCGGAGAGAACGTCTCCTTATCATTTAGGTCTGAATTATTGGCTTGAGCAGCAGTGTTCAAAAAACAAAAATTAAAAAAAAAAAATAGCTGTCCCCATTACTAATATTATGCTGATATATATCCTCAGGTATTGGTCGGATACAATAAGAAAGGTAAACTGTTCTTTCAACTTATTTTATAGATTACTGGCTTATACAATCTTGAATGATCAGATCTTAGTAGGTGTTATTTGTTTGTTCTTGTAGAAGTTCGTCTTGAGACTCGAAATTTATGATAAAAAATCTTGTTTTGATGCTGTAAGAAAAGTTAATGCTCTTCCGGGTGTTGAGTCAAACCTACTATTCTTTGAACTATGTGTGCAATTATCTATGAAAATGAGACTTGAATGCCACATAAAATTTTCTATTCTGGGTTTTTTTCAGGAGTTCATATTGCTCTTCATCGAGTCAGCTACAATGACATAAAGGTTGTAGGAATATGCAATCCGGTAGAGGTAGCGAGGGAATTAGGAAATTTTTGGCATACGGAGCTCATCTCCGTAGAGCCATACTAAAATTCTCGAATAAGTCGTGGAATAATGATGTTTATACTATTATGTTTGGTTGCATGAAATTAATGTCTTGTAAATCAAATTGAAAAAAATTTAGTTCAAATTTTAAATTATTATTTTTAATTCTAAAATATCAATTCCATACAACAAAACATAATATTTTGATTAGGGTGCCCGATTAGTAAATTACATATGGCATGCCTTTTCGGTAGTTATTGGATTGTCTAAGTGGTAGATGAATCGAGCTTGCAGCCTTGCAGAGACAATGTGTGTTTGGCAAAAAATATCTGGGTAAATATTCTCTGTAAATTATTAGATTTCTGATTGGGGACAAGTTGGGTTAGTCATGATGAGTAAGATTTTATTTATTTAAATTCATTTTTTAATTAAAAAAAATTAAGCTTATAATTAGGGGTGGCAAATAGGCGGGTTAGGTTGGGTTAAAAATGGGCGGATCAACATGGGTTAAGACCCATATTCAACCCGTTTTGAATGGACGGGTTGAAAATGGCAGGATCAACCCGTTATGACCCGTGAACCCATTACTTATTATTTTTAATTATATATATATATCTTTATATATTTAGATTTTTTAATTTTTTAATTTTAACTTATTATTTTTTAGGTAAATTTTCATTTAATGGAGGAGGTGGAGTCTCTGGGACTTATTTGAAAAAAAAATAAAAATAGAATTTAATAAGTTAAAATTTTCAATAGGATCACATTGTAAAAATTTAACCACTAAGCTACAACACCAGAATTTTTCTACTCATTGAGCAACCTGAGTTTGGTACTATTTCTAATTTCTTTACACATACATATATATATATTCGAATAATTACTTATATACGTAGATGTTTATTCATTTTAATTAGCAAATTCAATTTTTTTATTTTTAAAGCCGGTTCACAAATAGAGGACGATAAGGTAGCTAAAATTTTCACGTATATAAGTATTATATATATATATATATATATATATTTCCGTCGCTGGAAGGATATCACACCATGAATTCCCCATGATGGAAACCGGAAACCTTGGTATTGATAGATATAACTAGTCCCGTCCCACTGTCTCTCTCTAGGAAGAGCTTGCACCAACTGACCTTCAGTTTCCGTTGAAATGTACCTCTGTTTGCTCAATTACTCACGACATGGAAATAGCAGTACTATCTATAGGAAATATATATATATATATATATATATGCATAATGCTTTCTTTTAATATTATAATTTTTATTATTATTATATTTTCTTATAATTGGTGCGCATTTGATTCAATTGCGCATTATAAACAGGTTGTACAAGAAGGTGTCAGTTTACCTGTTTTTTAATTTTCAAGAGAATAATATTCCATTTTAAACTTTATTGCCTTGGTATATTACTTGTATATGGGAAAAAATTTTTTTTTTTTAATTTTTTTAATTTTTTTTTAAAATTTTTAAAGTTTTTTTTATTTATTTTTATTTTTTCAAATTTTTTTTATTTATTTTTAAATTATTTATTTATTTTTAAATTTTTTTTTAATTATTTTCAAAATTTTAAAAGTTTTATTTTTTTATTTTTATTTTTTTAAAATTATTTATTTATTTTATTATTTATTATTTTTAAATTTTTTAAAATTATTTTTTAATTATTTATTTTTTTAGAAGAAATTTCTAGAGAGAGAAATTTAGAGGGAAGGAATTGATGAGAGACAAATTTAGAGAAATAAGATTGTGAGAGAGAAATTAGTTAAGTGTAATATAGAATAGATGTGTGTTGTATGTTTATTATGTGATGAGTGAAATATGGGTTGAATATGGCATATTCAATTCATTTTGACTCTCAAATTAAGTGGTTAAAAATTATTCAATCCATCTTGACACTCAATTAAATATGGTTCACCCATAACTATTAAAGAACGGGCGGATATGGACTGATTGATGGTTCCTAACCCATTTTGCCCCCCTACTTATAATTAACTCAAAAATACCCTACAAAATTATTTTGGAAAGCACTTGCAATTACTGTTTTTTTTTTTTTTTTTTTTTTTCGGACTATGGTGTTATTTGATTACTCAAGTGCATTAAACGTTTATTCAATTAAGTACGTTTGATAATATAATTTAAATATCATTGAAATCATTTAAAATGAGATAAAACACCACCTATATTTTCTGTGGAAGTTGATTTTATTTGGCTTTGCACAGGTCAATTGATCACAAACACACACTGATTAACACACAACTATGGCCTGGAGCATCTAATTCCTAACATGATTGATTGTCTCGACTTAGAATTCATCAATCTCAACCTTGCTTTTCGTTCTAGTCTTAGAATGATCATTATAATCAAGCTGAAATTAATTAATTAATTGACTTCAAAATATAAAACTTGATTTATCATTAACTAAGCTATATATGGTTTACGTAAGACATAAGAACTACAAATAATTAAAAATAAAAAATTAGACAGATTAGCCCTTTTTTTTTTTTTTTTGACAAGACACATTAGCTCTTTTGACAAATTGCTATTAAGCGAGAAATTTCAATTGAATCTAATTGTGAAGTCCAATTCTGCAGTTCAAATATACAAAAATAAAAAATGTAGCGGGTATGCCCTTGTTCGAGTTCCCCTTTGCCAAGGAAAAAAAACAAACGTTTGCGAGACTCTTGGAACATTAGATGGCATAGACACGAATCAAAGGTGGGTGAAGCAAAAGCTATACTGATGAACATTTGTTTCTTTAATGGTGACATATTTTGATGTTAATGTTGAGCAGTCAGCTTCATTACCTATATTCCAAGTTGAAGCTAACACCACACCACCTTCAACAACAAAAGTCCCATGCTCGAGTCTTTCAAGTGCTTGTGCTTATAAGCTAGCATCTATAATTCTGCCACTTCCTTCCAAGAGTTTACAGCTCAGATCTGAAGAGGCCCATCATTAGTTGCATGTGGGAATAATGCAGCTGCCACGACAAAAACTCCCGAGAACGAACATGATGTTGTCAATGTAAGTGACTTCGAGATCCACCTTGAGTGGCAGCCTCTTTCTTTGCCATGTATTGAGGCTTTGGTTGCAGCTCGTTGGATCCTTCAACGCCATTGTTTCCCCTACTGTTTTTTAAAACCGGGTTTCTTCTAGAGTTTGAAAAGCTAGAAACAGCATATTGAGTTGGATCAGATGGATTTCTGACCATCTTTTGCCGTTCAAGAGACCCTGCTGCCACCGCCAGTGATCTGGAATTGTTGTAACGAAATGCTGAACTGACGACTTTCCCAGGCCTTGCAGCACCTCCTGTATGAAAGTCAATAATATTCAGAGGACACGAATCTTAAGAACTGGTATGAGCTAGGTAAGGAAAGCACAAGACAGCCGGTGAATATGCAAGCGCACAATAATAATTCTGTACATCAAGGTCCAAAGCCTATGTAACTAAAGGCCTGTTAGGCAACTGTTTCTATTTTGAGTTTTTAGTTCATAAGAAGCAAAAGCAATGTTTTTGTTGTGTTTTGACTTATTCCAAAACAGAAATATGTTTGGTAACTAAATTTGTTGCACAATGTTTCAAAACAGACAATTGAAAGAGATGTTTTGTTGATTGTAAAAAATTGTTGTATTTACATTACATTGGCTTTTTTAAAAGAATATTTCTTCAATTGTTCAGCTACATCAGTGAAAACATCTTTTCTTGCTTCCAGATTTGGGCCTTTTTCTGAAACAGATGCGACATTGCGCAAAACATAACAAATGTTACTGAACATGTTTTCGCCATTTGTTTCTATATTTCACCGATTTGGCAACAAAAACACGAAACAACAATGGTTGCCAAATAAGCTCTAAGTTCAAATAGTTATCTCAAATGTTCTAATGTACATAAATATGAGTATATTTGTCTGACTGTGCAATGAAAATAATGTCAGGTAGTATATAAATAACATAAATAATGATGGGATGAGACTGCATTTGAATGGTGGAGTCTGTGTTACTCACTTTTAGTCTTTGTTCAGCTCCCAATATCAACAATTTTCAAGATTTAAAAAATATGCAGTCTTTGGACATGCACTTTCATAAAGCCAAGGCATGAAATCATTCCCTCAATCCACCAACTACTCTGATGTAGAACATAGAAACGCTCTTATACCATGCAAGACAGGAAACGCTCTGATACCAATTTGATGCAGAATGGAAGGCGTTTTGATACCAATTGTGCAGAACCAGAGAGGAAAAAAAAAAAAAAAAAAAAAGAGGAACAGTAACGGGACAAAGAGAAGAACATTTGGGGAAGAACAATAAATTAGGGAGGAACAATGTCTTCAATATTCTTAACCAATCATCAAAACAAAGGGTAAAGTGCACTAAACCCCCCTGAAGTATGACTCAATTGCAAGAAACCCCCCTAAAGTAAGCAAAACCCCCTTGGACTATCCTTTTGTTGCACACAGTGAGGAACCGTCAACCACTGTTAACAGAAAAATGAAATTACCATTTAGTCCTTCCTTGTTTTTTCTTGTTGGGATGCTGATGTGGCAATGTAATCTCTCGACCCAATAAAGAAGCGACACCTAGCCACCTATCTGTCCATCAAGAGGCGCCAAACAGCTCCCAAGTCCCATCCCAATCATAATCAAGTGTAAACGAAACCCTCCAATCTTGCTCGGGTCGAAAACCTCACCTACTGGACCTTCCTCATCCTTAATCACTGCCGAACATAGATCCTGCCATCAACAACCACTGCCTCGGCCCACGACCTCATCGCCTTCATCAGATCTATTTCCGTGCATCGTTTGCTAATACAATCTCTTGGAAATCCTTCTAGAAAAGATTTGATTCAAGCCCGGCGTCCTTGGCACGGGCATTAGAGTAGTGTTGCAGTGAACTAGGGTAGGAATTTAGATTGATTTTTGGCTTGTGGACCACGGCGGAGGTGGTGACGAGGGGATGCTCCTCTGTTTCTTCAAAGTTGGGCTGGAGCTTTCCCGGTGTTGAAGATTCTGAATTAATACATGACCGGTAACCCTTCATTGTGTATTAATTCTCTTTGTGTGTGTGATTACAATTGGGTTTTTGTAGAGAAAGAAAAAGGGTTTGATTTAGAAAAGGGAAGTTAAAAGAATTTGGTATGTGTTTGTGTGTGTAAATATATATATATACACACACGATCACAAATGCACCCAATTCATTTTTATTTATTTATTTATTTTTCCTGGTTAAGTAAATTCTTTGTAAACTCTTAAAAGCTAATCCAACCTACAATCACAACACACCCAATTTTTCAACTTTCCTTTTCTAAATAAATCCTTCAGCATCCCAATAGGAGTTTAGAATTTGTTGCTGGCAAGTTGGTTTCTAATTTGGGGGTTTTCTGGTTCGTTGAATATATATATATATATATATATATATATATATATATATATATATAATGGTCAATATAATATTCTATAACTGTCATAAGGGTATATATGGTATTCTAAATTTTGACAAAGGCGCGTGGGTCACCTGCCTCTTCTCAACGTTAACTATCAGACGGCCAAGGAATGGAATTTGAATTTTTGCAACAAGGGAGATCGTTTAGGGGGTTAAGTGTATTCTTTAAAGTTCAGGAGGGTTTTTTGGGAGAGCGAAGAAAGCTCAGGGGAGTTTAACACACTTTACCCTCAAAACAAATCAAGCCCAACTGGATTGAATTCTTTATGTAGTCAAGTAGCCCTAATTGCAAAGAAATTATAAAACCTAAAATATCAAATCCTGAATAAATTAGGAAGCCCCAAAAATTTGTTGTTACCAAGAATTAAAATAGAAAAATATATTAATTCTAATTCTATCAAATCCCTAATCTTATCTATCCTTGCCCCTTCTCCTAGCATAGATGTGAATCATGAACAGATCATGCAAGCAGATTGTATCATGATCCCTACCACTCTCTCTCCAGTAGAAACATGTAGATGCAAGAATAAAATCATAATTCTCAAATTATTACTAAGAGAAGAAATAATCTTCACGGTTGCTTTACCCATATGCAAAATTCAGATGTTTTGTCATGACCAGATAGTGAAAAAAGTTGACAACTAGAAAAGGTTGACTAGTTTTTCTGTGGTACCTTTGTAAGTTTATCTTGAGATCACTAATTAAGTACAAGTAAAAATAGTTGAGGTGTTCATCAAGAAAGAAATGATACATCATGATTTAGCAACCTGCAAACTCAGAGTTTGAGAGACTTAACAAAAATGAACTGTGTTTACGCTAATCATATTCCCCCAGAAGCAATTCAGATCTATGGCAATCAGAAGAGAATAGCACAAATTTTAGAAAAGCACACTGGAATCACCTATGATATTAAGATGTCTCTTTGATATTTGGTGAGGTTTGGCATGTTTTTCCAACATGCTGCCACATTGCGCTAGGAAAATTTTGATTAGGTAAAAGTAACTGAAAAGAGAGTGGGATATGAGTGATTGTTAGAAGAAGATAAGCAATAACATGAAGACTATGCACATAGTGCCTATCCTCCTCTAATTAAGTAATGATGATATAAAAGCTAGAAAAGTGAAAATCACATAGATAATGATGATATACATTAGTGGAAATTTAATAAGAAATTCACACCTTGGACACTTTGCTGAACTTGGAGAGGAAGCCTTGTCACAGGGACTCCACCCCTCTCTTCTACACTGGGCTTCGCTACTTCTTTGATGCAGACATTGGAGAAATTGTTTGTGATTTCTTCTGTATTCTGTGTCGAGCTATCTGAATATAATACACATGGCCTGCATCTAAAACTTTTGATCATTGGCCCAGATGATTTCAAACATGATATATCAGAAGTATAAATGACAATGGGTGATATCCTAAATAAGCACAGCAGCACATTTTAAAAGATAATTAAAAATGAAACCTGGGTAATGATGCATGTTGCCTCTCAGGTGGAGCAATGGTTTCACCATTTCCACAATGCTCCTCAAGATAAGCAATTTGCTTTTTAAATTGGTCAACAGCACTGTCAAAAAAACATATCAGAAGAAGAAAAAGATCCATTAATTGTGTCATTATGAATGAGTCTGTTGGGAGAATATCATGAAAGGAGTGATTTAAGCCTTGATAGAATTGATAGGAGTGATTTAGGAATCCTCCATCAACGTATTTTCCATATTTATGATTTGTATTCTTTCACCCATAAATAGAAGTGGTCATTGTAAACAAAACTAAGAGAGAATATAATAAAAGTGGTATAGCATTTGGGCTTTGTGTGCTGCGGATGTAGGCCGTAGTGGCAGAACCACGTATATTTTTGTATTGTTTCATTCTTGATTTCTTTCTACAATCTTTTATTTTTTTACCAATATGGTACCAGAGCAAGTTTATCACATCCTACTCTAGACTCGTTCGGCTCTCATTTGTCTCCCTTGAATATTGTGATCAGATTTACTCGTCTTGGATCTTCGGATCAACTCGTCTAAGAACTTCGGATCAACTCATTTCAGATCTTCGAATCAACTTGTCTCAGATCTCCAAATGCACTCATCTTGGATCTCCAGATCTACTCATCTTAGACTCTCGCAACTTCGTATTTAGTTTTAAGGTGGACACTTGAGTTAAAATCTTCATGTACCAACTTGAGAAGGGGGGGTGGGGATTGGGGCGCGGGGGAGAATATCATGATAGAAGTGATTTAAGCCTTCATAGAATATTGATGGGAGTGATTTAAGGGATTGATTTTTATTTTTATTTTTCCCCAGAAAGTTATGTTTGAATTTAGGAATCCTCCATCAATGTATTTTCCATAGTTATCACTTGTACTCTTTCACCTATAAATAGAGGTGGTCATTGTGAACAAAACTAAGAAAGAATATAAAATAACTGATGTAGCCCTTTTGGCTTTTTGTGCGGTGGATGTAGGTCATAGTGGCCGAACCATGTTTATCTTTGAGTTGTTTCATTATTGTTTACTCTCTTCAATCTTTTACTTTCTTTCAACAAAGTCGATGAGAGAAAAATGATCTGGTTTGTAGGTGATAAAGGACATCGACTAAAATAAAAAAGGAAAAAAAAAAAAAAAAAAAAAAAAGATCCATAAATTGTGTCATTATTAATGAGTCAATGACAGACAAATGATCTAGTTTGCAGGAGATAAAGGGCCTCCTACTAAAATTTAAAAAATAAATAAATAAATAAAAATAATGAAAAAGGAAGCATCTTTTTTTTCCATAAGCAAGCATTGTATTAGGGATTCAAGAATAATGCAATCAGCACAGAGTGATCGCAATAAAAGCATTCCTTCACCTTACAAGAACCAAAAGTTGGATACTTTCAAGGTACCTTAATAATGGTAATGGTGTGTGATATGTTAGACATCATCCAATGCCTCCTTTCCCCTTTCTCCCAGAACTTTAAAAATTTTGTTTCCCCTCAAAGTTAAGAAATTATGATTTCTTCAGTAGAAGTAATTTTTTAATTTAAGTAAACTAAGGGGCATTCTTGGAGAATCTGAATTTTAAATGTTGGTGTATTCGAAACGCGAAAGTGACAAAGAATACACAAAAATATGGAAATCTTCATGATTACGGCACAAACAACATACCTCATGCCTGGTCAAGTAGCAAATCTATCTATCTATATATATATATATATAAACTTGCTTAAGATTCTTCAGCGCACAGTATAATCTTCCCAAAAATGCTAGTTATATACCCAGTTTATTTTAATGCATATCACAACCATTAATATATAATCCTAACGGTTTGGCTATTAATCACCACTAAAGCATTGAAAGTTTACTTAAGACTAGGAAGGCACCAAAAATTTTAGTAGAGGATTCAGGGTCACAAGTTTTAGTCTTGATTTAAAGATTATTAAGTAGAGAACAACGTGAAATACGGCTTTATCATTCTTATTAATTTTAAATAAAAGGCCGAAGAAACAACCAACAACTAACAACAACAACCAAAAGCTATTAGAAATAACCAGAATAGATTTCAACCTCATATCTTTACTTAGATTTGGAAAATGCAAAGTCCAAATTGTTGAGATTGGAAACTGTTACTAATCGCTTGTAATATATTATGAATTAAATCATATAATGACTGAAGATCTTTCTAAATAAATAATCACATTATAGAAAGTAAGGAATATGGACATTTAAATGTCTTTCTAATAACAATAAAGTTAAACAAGAATGCAAGTTATGAGAATTGATCTGTGGTACCAAGATAAGGGCATCAACAGGAAAGGAAGACATTACATCCATGCTAGCAGGATGTTCGGGAAAAATAAGTCAATTCATATTTGATAGCAATACCTTGGATACATGAAGCCTGTTGGTTCTGATCCCTCCAAGTACTCTTTCAACATCTTTGGATGGTATTGAAGAATCTCCCGATATATCAACTCTCGTACATCTTCCTTTGTTATCCTTCGTCTTTCAAATTCAAATTCCATTTTCTTAACTGGTTGACCAGAAGGCTCTCTCTCAACCTTGGCCAAGTTCTTAAAATATGGATCTGCAAGAGCCTGACAGCTTGCAACACAACATGCTCTTTAGAAGAGGCAGACACATATGTACGAGGTCAGATTTACCACCATAAAAATCATACCTCTTCGGCAGATGGTCGATCCTTGGGTTCAAATGCTAGCATTCTTTCTAACAAATCCAATGCAAGGGGATCTGCATTTGGGAACTTTTGGGAAAAAGGAATAGGTTTTTTCTTCCGCATGCTCCTTAAGTATCTCCGAGCCTTCTCATTCCGTATCTGAAGGCATAAAACGATGGTTGAGGAATCATACTTGCTACATAGATGGGACATGCAATAGAATGGCACTCAATAATAATAATTATATCACAAAACAAGTTTATCACGAGAAACAGACCCTGGCTATGGCTTCGGGAGATGGTATTCCCAACAGATCAGTCATCAGATCCAATTGATGGACTACATTTTTTCCAGGAAAGAGAGGTCTACCAGTTAAAAGTTCTGCAAAAATGCAACCAATGCCCCATATATCTATCGCAGGTGTGTACTGGAAACAAAATAGAGAGTGAATGTAACTAAAAAAAATATTTATCATCTGCACAGCATGGCAACTATTATAGGACAACAGTTGTCACATGATAATATTTTCAGATCAGCAGATATTTGTGAATTAGGCAAATAATGATCAAGATACTTCTAAGCAAATACAGTGATATTGATGCTTGCACCTTAGAGAAAAAGGATCCACACAATTCAGGAGCCCTGTACCATCTAGTCGCAACATAATCCTATTAGCACATCAATGGAAATAACTAATGATAAAGGTATTATTAGAGAAATAGCTCATGTAACAAGAAATTTCACGTGGCAGAAATATTGACACGGTGGATTAAGAAGAAACGTACTGTCCAAAATATAGCAAAGGGGGTATCATTAAAGGCTACTCTCGCAAGACCAAAGTCACAGATCTTGAGTTTACAGTCGGCATTTGCTAAGATATTTTTTGGTTTTAGATCTCGGTGAAAGACATTTGCTGCAAAACCATTTATTAAAGAACTAAAAAAAATCAGAATGGAAAGATCATAAAAATAAAACAACTAATTTAATGTTATATACATCCTCACATGTGCTATATTCACAAAGCATTTGCACTGCAGTCAAGTGAAAGCAGTATTAAAGTTGAATTACAATATTATAACAACATATGACCTGTGTGCATGTACTTTAAGCCTCGAAGAAGCTGATAAAGGAAAAACTGATAATGTTCTGGTGTCAGGTCATCATTTGCTTTAATAACTTGGTGTAAATCAGATTCCATGAGTTCAAGAACAACATATATGTCTTTGAATTCTCGTCTGGAAGGAGGCAATAAGATATGCTTGATTTCCACAATGTCTGGATGATGTAAGAGTCTAAGAAGCTTGATCTCGCGAAGGATGCGTGTGGCATCAGATACATGTTCAAATATATCATTAATCTTCTTAATAGCAACCTTCTCACCAAGATAAGTATCATATGCCGAGCAGACGATACCATAGCTTCCTTTCCCAATTACTTCCTCTATTCTATACCTACTCCCCTCACCGTATTCTGTGAAGAAATCTACATCTTCAGATGCCTGCATCATCATGAAAAAACACTTGATGTTATTAACACCACACTATGTTTTCGAATGGTTCAAAGTGTAAAAGGGCATCAGAAACTATTTGTTCTAAAGAATGTGAACAGGAAATGAAAGAGCACTGATAGATGTAGTCTACAATCACAACTGGCACGTTATGTGCCACCAAAAAAGGAAACATATGTGATACTATTAAAATAAAATTAAACTGTATATTGGTTTTACAATTGAATCATTTCATAACACTGTCCATAGCCACATTTGACAAAGCCTTACTAGTGCTTGGATTTGACTTCACAACACTGTTCATGGTAGCACTCACTTTAGAGATGCATACATTTTATTTTTTATTTTTTATTTTTGTGGGCTAGTCACTAGAATATATACTTTTTGTAGGTTAACTCTCAAAGATAGATAGATTGGACAGAATAGTAGTAGAATTTTTACTTGCTCCATTACTCTAAGTTAATAACAGAAATAACAGATTAATTACTTCACAGTCGAATAAATAAAGAATATCAACAATTTCCCAATTTTCAGAGTTTAGTTGATTTTACAGAATCAATTTAAAATGTAAATAAGAAGTACATATAACTATCGATCATTCCAAGAACACCAGAGTCAGAACAATTTCTTATTAAATTTTGAAAAATTGAACATGCAAAATAGTTTGAATTCCATTCACAAACAAACATTATTTCCACAATACAAAAAGCTGTTCAGGACAAGAGAAACACAAATGAGAGAGAGAAAGAGACCTACCGTTACAAGGAACAACAAGATGGATGAACAATTAAGTCCCTGTATTTATAACAAACAAGCATGCATATCTGTATATGTATCTAGATATGTGTGTGTATATATATATATATATACATATACTGTGAAAATATTGAGCAGTTACCTTTCTTCGTTGATCAGGCTGCATCTGAGGAAAAAAGGATCAAAACCCACCAAAGCAATCAAATAACGGTCGATCACAGTAGAGCAGCAAAACCTAGACTTTGCATTCAAATTCTCTAAATCCAGAACAAAATTACAGAAGGTATATCAGAGAACTAACACAAGGATCACAGAACCTACGAAGTAACTTGAGAAGATCGAAGTGTCACAAAATCATCAATTTACAACATGAATTCAACATGCATTCCCAAGTACAAACCCTAACTCTTAGTGAATTTTAGGGGTAAAAAGGAATTTTATTTTGAATTCAAGGGAAATGAATTGCCATATTTGTGGCAATTGCATAGAAAAGAATTTAATTTCATTCTTTATTAGGAAGAAAATTGTGCCGCTAGATTTGCCGAGAATCTAAGATGGCGATGATCTCTAACTTGACCAAAAAGCAAATAAAGTCTCTGTTTTTTTCTACTAAAAGCAGCTGGAAAAATGGTTAATTGCACTAACACCCCCACGCGATTTTGGTCGATCCTACTAGCCCTGGTCAACAACTTTTTAGGCAATAACACCCTGTTTCAAATGACATATTTGCTATTTATTATTTAATTCAACATTAATGTTAATTGACAAAAATATCCCTTACCGTTAACCCATGTGACCAACAATACACTGTCTCACAGCTGACATATCTCATCTCAACAAGGAGTGCTAGTTGCGACTGATCCACACTCGCACACATGTTAGCAGTCTATTGGCTGTTGGCACTAACGTTTTTGGATTTTTGCAGAGAAATTGTCAGTCAATAAGGAAGTGTTAAAAAAAAACAATTTGTGAAGGACAAAGACCGGAGTAAAATTGTTGTTATGTGGTTGTGGAGGTTGTTGGAAAGGACTCTGATTGATCAATAGTGATTTCCCTTCCCAAATTGATCCCAACAGAATAACCTAGGGCTTTGCAGTGGTGACGACCAAGGTGGTGAGGGCTCCGACGACTAGCAGCGGCGATGGCACTACAATTGAGGCTTCACAACGAGCACGTATATATTCAAAACCCAATTCAAGGGTTAAGTCTTGCAATTTTTTACATCAGCCATACTTTGTGAAGGTCGAAGAACATAATTTCTTTGGTAGGGATGAGTCCAGCAATTTCTTCAATGGTGTTATCCTTATCAGTGGGAGTGTGATTGAGGAATACCCACATCACAAGATGGTATAAAAACACCTTTGGGCTCTTCACTCTCAGTTTGAGATTTATATGTATATTATATGTGTGTGTGTATATATATATATATATGGGTTTTGTTTGATTTGGCTTAGACGAGTTTCGATTTTGATTTTTCCATTTCTGATTTAAATCTTCGACTGTAGGGTTATATATATACATACATATATATATATGGTGTGAAAAATTTGGGTCTGCATATTATATTATACTACATATATATGTATATATATATATATATATATATGATGTATTATATATACGTATATAATTTGGGCATCTGTTTGGGATGGTGGTGGTGTTTTGGTGGTAATGGTTGTGGTGTCTGGTTTCCAAGTCTATTTGCGATTCTGCCACTATATTGTGTATATATATACATATATATTGTATAATACGTACGTATATAATTTGGCTATGCATATAAATGTGTATTCTGTTTGGGATGGTGGTGGTGTCTGGGTGTTGTGGCGGTGGTCGTGGTTATGGTGTTTGGTTTCCTAAGTTAAATTGCCTATTAGTTAGGAAGGTTAAATGGGTTGTTTCATGAGTGGTTGTTGACAAGTCAAGGGACATACTGGTTTGTTTTTTTGACACTACAATATTCTAAATGTGACCTGCATTGACTTTAATCTGAGTGACATTAATCAAAATCTTATAAGTGTCAGTGCAATTAATTCAAAATAAAAAGGTGATAATTTTAAAAAAGAAGAAGTAAGGTATAACTAGGGGTGAAAAAAACTATTTTTACATAATGATTTAAAAATTTGTGTAACTCAATCATATCTCTTCAAAAAAGTAGATGTGTAGGTCATTTATATGAAAAGAATTTAAAAAAAATGACACTTTTGCTTACTCTATTTACTTTTACTTATGGAAAAAAAATGTGTATATTTTAATTTACTAAAAGAGATTTATTTGAAATAAACAATTTGATAAATATTCTCTCTCATAATGTAGGAGTTCAGCACACCAATTTATGAATTGAACTATTCTAGCCAAAAAAAAAAATTGAACAATTTATTCTTACTCTTTTAGCATAATTAGTGATGAGGAAATTTGATATAGAAGTTGAACAGGCGATTGTGGATAAGGTACGGTAAGATAAGATGATTAATATAGTTGGCGTCACAAATTCAAAAAGTGGTTTTGATATGATAAGGTGAAATTATGATTCTCGGCAAAGTGTCTCCTCAAAAATTGCAACAAACTCCACGCTCAGCAAATTATAAAAAGAGACGACCACCAAACAATGAGGTACGGGCAATATTGAACTCCAGTTCATCAATTGCTTAATTTATTTCTTCAGTAAACTGACTTAGCTATCGAAAGTTTTTTGGCAGGCACCACACCGGTGTTAAGAGAAAACATTATCGTTTCGAATCGTTGCAGTCTAATCTTCATCAATTAGCACGGCGACTTGAAGTGGAGGAGAACTCACAATTCTCTAAAATTTTCAAATAGAAATATTTTTGTAACGTAAGTTTTCTCCAATCTAATTGAAGCACCCGGGCCTCGTGGGTTTGGAAAAGTATAAGTGATGCTAAGGATATTGTCCAACGAGGACTTAATTGGAAGTTATGGACGGACTGGTGAATTGGTTGACTGTTGGAATTGTAATTAGTTGTCGGATTGTGATAACCCAAAGGTTTGGGACTCTTAAGCGAGTAAGAAATCTTATCAACCCGTCCACCAAAGCATGGAAGTCAAAAGTTGATTCGAAACACTCTCAACGCCAGGGACTCAGAGTTGATTCCGAAGATTCCTATCTTTCAATCCACTGTAAAGGAATCTAAATCATGGGGATTATCCTCGAATGACAAGTTTTCTATTATAAGTGTCTATTAGGTTACTGTTGGTATGTTACATCCTCATCCTAAGGTGGACCAACATTCTTTCTTCCACACAAAGCAACAAGTTTCGCCAAGAATTTCAAAGATGTAGGCATTCGTTGTGGAAAATTAGATCCTTCAAGAAGGTTCACTTCTTTTTATGGCAGAGTTGCCATAAAAAGACTCTCGTCTTCAAGTCCTCAAGAAGAGAGGTTTTGTGCTTGATGTAACTTGGTTCTTATGTAAACCAAAAGAAAAAAAGTGAGTACGTGGATCATATTCTTTTGTCCTATTCAGTAGCTCAACAAGTGTGGCGTGTTTCTCCCCTTAATCTCATTTTAGAAAGTCCGGTTGAAATACCTTGACAAAAATGATTGTTGAATCGATCAGATCTATGGTCCAAGTCTGAGTCGTCAGAGGACTACTTCAGCCTGGGTTCCTTTATCTGTTGGAATATTTGGAAAAGCATGAACAACGTACAAATGGTATAATCATAAATGCTTATCTTTTGTGAATATAGAATGTTTTTGAATTCTTCAGCCTCTGATTTTTCCCCTGATAGATGGAGTCCTCCACTAGATGGCTATCTCAAGCTAAACTTTGATGCATCTTTCCATCCTTCTTCTGACAGTGGTGGTGTTTTTTTCCTGTGAGTTTAATGGGGATGGCCTGTCAAAATTGCATCTTTGTTCCTTCAGAACATTCATTCCTCTTTCATGGCTCAGTTGTGGATGATTAGAGAAAGCATTAAATCGTTGAGATTAAGAAGTTATGGCTCTCTCTCCTTTAGATGCTTTGTCAACGGTGTTACTCGAAGACATTTCAAGCCTCCTTACTGAAGTGAATGGAGACGTTCATTTACAATAGGCTCCTACACACTACAACAGTGTTGCCCATGGAATAGGGCAATGGGTTTTTTGTTGTAAAGTGAGTGATTATCTGTGAGAGGTGTGTCCTTCTTGGCTTCTCTCTTCTGGAATCTGACTTTGTACATGTTTCTTGATTTCTCTATTGTATTTTTCAGGTTAAAAAAACACTCGATGTGAGAAAGTCGTACAAAACGATTTCACTTGTATAACATTTGATACGGAATATTCGACTAGATAAGAATTCCAAGTGACATGGAGACTCAAAGGGCATGGATAAATTTAAGGAGATAAGGTGACCATCTTATGAGGTAATTAAAGGATAAGATTTGATTAATTCAAATGTTGCACTAAAGATACGATTAACTAATCCCTTCTCTCTCAAAAGGAAATGCGGAAACGACAACTTCAATTTTCTATAAACACCACGCCGGTTGTCTCTTTTCTCTTGTCTTGCAGGAATCGCTCTGGAGTCTGTAGATTTTTGCATCAACAGTTGGCGCCATCTGTGGGAAACGTAGAGATATCAGAAAATCCAACTCTAGGTTCTACAACAGTACAACACTCTTCATCCGCCAACACAATCGTCAATCCTTATCCTTGGTTGCCATCACAATGGTTGGCGCAACCATGAAGTCTCTAATTAGATGTACCAATTGCTTGGTATTATGCATCTATCTACTAATCAGAGGCATAGCCGTGGAATTAAAGAAAGCACTAGACTGCTCGTACTAGACTCCTATATGCAAACATGTCTGATGAGACTATCGATATCGATGCAACTCAAACACTTCGCAGAAGAATTAGACACTCACGAATTCGAACACCTCTGACGAATTGAGGTACTTATCTTTTATTACTCTATGTATACACTTAATGTTGGCCGCATCCCAATGCGAACTAGGGCCCAGTTGGTTCCAACTATTATTACAATTCATTCCCAAGTTTTCTTCCAGTTCTATAAATATATAGTATGTCTAAACCTTTGGTCAAAGATATATATATACACACACACACACACACCAATATCTGGGAATAGGGGTTGTTCTATTTAGTACATGATTTTTGTTTAAAAATTTACAGACATTCAATTTTGCAATTTTGACATACTAAATTTGATGCCAAAATTGAACGGAGGTTTTTGTGCTTTTAATTGCCTTCAACATTAAGAAATAAATAATGATGGAGGGTGCATTTAAAATCTTTCTTGTCACATTTTATATGCGCATAGTTTGTCCAAATTAACAAATCATATGATTATCCAAACATCTCTTTGATTTTTCCCAAACCCGGATTAAAAGCTTACCAAAACTTCTCAGTCTTGAAGACTACATGGAATTTAGTCACTGACTAGAATCTTGATTTGTTAGTTACTGAAAAGTTCAATGAATTCCATGAGAATTCATTAGAAAGAAAGGTTGGTCTTTATATCCTTAATTTATTAGAAACTGACAGTGGTGTTAAACATGTCCCTTCCAACTCGACATCCCTTTTTAATACAATGATCTCAGCTAAAAATCCTATTTGGCACTGAATCA